TTGCGTCGGCTTTCATCTCTCTGGAAAAGCGAGAACGATCTCCGATAGGGAAGCATCAAAGCGTTCCGTTTTATCCGGTACACGTGATCAGGAAACAGTTTCGTTCGTCATTTCAGTCAGATTCCATCACATCCAGATGTTATCAAACAGATATCATTCGTACAAAAATACAGGGTCCGTCCAAATAACATAAAAACGGAAATGGTGTGATTCCTTGTGCAAGAGTAAGACAAAGATATGGAATCAAAATTCTTCATTTTTGACTTAGTATTCCAGAAAATCGAATTTGAAAATTGATCACATATACGTGAACATGGCTAATTCACGTACTAGGTGTGAAAATAAGTCGACAATGCAGAATAAAATTTTTCACAGAATGCATTGTTTCTGAGAAAACAGTACTAAGCCGAGTCCTAAGTAAACGTGTTCACATTCTATTCTTTCCTTTAAATGAAGCTTTAAAACTTTTATTAATCCGAGAATAAAATTCGGATTTTATTCTACATTTTCAACTTATTTTCACACTTAGAATTATGTCGATTATTTAGTCCTGTCCAGTGTGGAATTAAACATGTTCGAGTATACTTGATAAATTTCCAAGTTCGATTTTCTCAGCAATTGAGCCGAGGATGCAAACATTCTATTTTTATGTTTTTTTTATCTTTTCACAAGGACGAATTTTTTGACATTAATACAATCGACGATGTTTAAATAATAAATATATGTAGCGATATACGTAGTAAATATTAAGATATATTATTGTTATATGGTTCAATAGATAGTTTAGCACTGTAGTCTTTATGACTATAAATCGGAAGTAAATTGTCTGGATATCTACGAAGGATAGTGCACTTGGTGCATGCGTGTACATCGATCGAATAAATTACCTCCTCGGTAGAGTATGAAATTTCCCGTGGAATTTTTTAATAACACGTATGGAACGATAGAAGAACGGAGACTCGACTTTATTATGTTTCGCGGGTTTCGCGAGCAAGCTTAATTACGCGAATGATAGGCACGCAACAAAAAGTCCGGCGAGGAATTCTTTGCAACCGCAAACAATTCTCCGGCTAATTAGCCTGAATCTGGGCGTAAATTGCCGATGAAATGGCTGTTAAAATCCATCGTTGAGCCGAAACGCAGAAGGGAGGGCAGAGAGTAAGCTAAAAGGAGATGGAGATGAAACGAAAGGAAAAAGAGGAAAAACAGAAAGATAGCACAAAAGGTACCGCCCTTGAGGTCATTACTGTACCGTGGTTTGGATCGTGGCAGCCTAGAAAGTTTCTTGGTCGCTTGCCAGACACTCACGCGAGCGACCACCTTCAAAAAATACCCGTGAAAGAGCCGAGAATACCGATCGTCGCGCGGCGAATGAAAGGGGACACGGAGAGCTTGCGAAGAGGGAGCGAAATTTCACGGGCCACTTAGAAACGATACTCGTGACGATTCTTTTCACCAACGTCGTCCTTCTCGTGAGTTATGAAATATAGCTGCCCGATCGGGCGTAGCTTTCATATTTCCTTGGAACCAGGCAACGTGCGAGCGCTTCGCCTCTCGTTGTTTTCGCCGTGGAAACGTCCACGGTGATGTACTTTCCGTCGGAAATACGAGTCCAATCGTTCATAAAGCTCCTGGGGTATTGCTTGTATGGCGCTCGACGATAGGTGAATCTACGCCCATACAGCGACTTCTCCTTTTTCACTGTGTTCCTCCGCGATTCCCTTCGCTGCTCTATTGTCTCCTCTCAGAGGCCGGATGCATGACGTGATCCTCCGTCATACAGAACAGCGTCTGATGAAAATGGTATTTGGAAATCTGATAAAGCGAACTACCATCGTAAATCGACCGTTTCGACAACCGTTCTCTTTATCTCATGCTGCAAGAATCATGGTAGTCTGGCATTAACCTCGATGCAATTAAGCGAAGAATCTGAGATTAAGCGTTCTGGGACATTTTCTATGCGTCTCGTGTTCGCATGTGTGTATTCTTTTGGACATCTTGTGGGTTTCTACGTACTTTATACACGGTAAGCCGAATTTTTGTGGAAGGTACGATAGTGGCTGATTCAGCATTCTAAAATAAGGAGTTCGTATAAACATACGTCGATATGACCTTGTTTTGAAGTTACAGCTTGTTTTACGATGCCAGACATTACTTAGATCAACGATTTCCTGGCAAATGGACAGGTCGCGTTGGCCTTATTTCCTGGCTGGCTCCCTCCTTGGATGGACCTGAATCCATGCGATTATTTGTTATGGGGACGTTTAAAATCTCTCGTTTCTACTACTTCAGTTGCCTGTGTTAATACTCCTCGACGTCGTGACGATCAAAGTTACCGATAAATTCGTACAAATTCGACGATCCAATGCGATGCATTTACGCTTTTGTTGAAGCTGGACCTGCTCACTTCGAGGAATTTTTCCCAAGGTAGGTAAGCAACTATTACGACACGAAACAAACTATTTGTCGAAAAAAATGTCATATCAAGAACGTCGTATGTGAACATTTCTTCCTACTTTAGTGTGTTGAATCGATTCCTGTCGTATTTCCCGCGCGTTGTGACTCACCCTGTATGCGATTGATCGACACGTGAAACCGATACAAAGTATCTTGCAGATTCGTTCGAATATCTCCGAACGATTTGAAATTCAAGAGTCGGAATAAATTCCCCGAACCTCGGTCGTCCTTTTGTCAGTTTTATTAGGTTCTCGAAGATACCACAGGGCTTAAGTATAATTCTAGAGCACAATAACGTCTGGTAAAGTGCCATTCCAGACTACCACCACTGCAGATTATGGACATTCCACGTGAACACTAAACATTGTCACTCATCCTACTTCGATACTTCGACGTAAAAGCACTAGAGCAACCAAACAGTATAAATCTTGGTTGCAAGGCAACCCGTTGTCGTAAAAGGTCTCATCGAATATTTCCATAAATCAATCTATTTTGGGTGATAAAAATTTGTATCCTTCGACTATGAGAAAACTCGTCAGGAATAAAAAACTATTTCTTCGACGAATACAATAGAAGAAAAAATATATATAAAAACGTTATATAAAACATCTTGAGATGTTATTAGTATTGTGACAAGACACAATTGTTGTTTCTATAAGTTTTTAGATACTTTTACGAGTCAAACCATATATTTTTCATAGTCTTACTCGTATAGTTCTTTTTTATAGCTGTCTTCTTCAAAATGCTTCTCAGTTGTATATTTATCGTTATCGTTATCAAACGAGCTCGATGCTTTTGAACCTCGCTTTCTTTTCTAAAAATCTTATTGTTTATTATAGAACAATTTTCCTAATCTTCCTCGTTAATTCTACATCTACGATCGAAGCAACTAAATCATAAACACAACAGAGAAACAAGATCTTGTAACTTCCACTCTTTTGAACTTGTTTCAGGCTTTAAGGAACATAGTCGTCTCTCATAACATACACAATGTGTTCGTAAAAAATTTCTACAAGCGTTCGCACATTTTCGTGAGCTAGCGACTATCGTAGACTCGCGGATAACAAGAAAACGAACAGTTCGAGGACAGTGTGAGAACAGGAGGCTGCGAACGTCGTATTTAGGTTGGGATCGACTGCTCGTTCAAATAATCTCTCGGAGGCACGTCAACGGGAACGGTGTCATCAATTTGACCCTGTTTTCACTTCGGTTCGATATTGCGATCCGCGACCTCGCGGCGTCGAGTATTCGCTGATCGTGGTATCTGACAGTAGCAATAACGGAACACAGTCGATTAGACTCCCTTACACTCGATTTTATCTTATATTCCTCCTTCTTTTCCTTCTGCTCTCCTCGTATTTTCTGACAACTGTCTCAGACCGGCAAACTACGGTTTTACTTCGCATTCGCATGTGAATATCGATAACCAGTCGACAAGTTGGCGTTACGTTCTTTCCACATATATAACATTAATCGCGTGGTAGGAAATGCAAACAAGCTGCATAGACTAGTAGCGACAAACAAGGTGAAAAATGTTACGGGCAGGAAATAGTCAGAGAGACAAAGCGTTTTTGAGCGATTAAATTACGGTCACGAAAGCAGCAGCCATCTTGCATAATAATTTACCAAGCAATGTTATTAGTAAATTGGCAAGTGAAAAAATTACTTAAATATCAGTGATGTGATATTTTATAACGTTACAGATTCACTGACTCGTAAATTATAAAATTTGCTGAAAGAGCTTCGTTTACTTTATTACCAAACTTAGTACTGCCACGCAAGAGGATTTATTAGTATTATAACTTGTAAAATTTCACTGATAATATTAGTTCAATTGTGCAAGAGGGCTGCTTACAGTTGCACGTTTTCCGAACCAGAGCTTTCGATCTCTCGGCGAAATCCTCGTGGGAAACGTTGCAGCCAGTTCGATTTTTTCATGCCGTAGAAATTCGCAAAGAACAGGGTCGTCCTTCGATATCTCCTTGATACCTCCATGCACCTTGTCATTTGCAACAGAGATACCAGTTCACGAGTTAGATATATCCGGATTTTAGAATATTCTATATCATAGAAAATATTCTGTATGATTTCCATAGAAATTTCCAATAAACTTCGATTGTCGATAATTTAGAGAATTTAATGTCAAGAACGCGGATGGAAAGTGGATTAAGAGCACTGTGATTCGTAATATAGAGAACTTCCAGATATCCCGGAAGTTCGAGGTAGTTTCTAGGTTACGATTCTCCGGGAACGACGATCGACAGAGTTTCCACGGTGTTTATTAACCGCGAGACAAGGCGAATCGTAGACTCGAATGCGACGCCTGGGGCGTTCGACGAATACTCAACTGTCCAGAATTATATCCACGAAGATTAGAAGCGAACCTTACCCGCATAGACGCCTGAAATTCGTGGATCGAGAATCGCTAGATCCGAGTGTTCAATATCATAACGCCTAACGTCGAGTCGCTCTGTAACTCTACCAGCTGAATTCCAGTCGTATTGTCATGGTGATCGCAGTGATAATGGATGGCGGATTTGCAGGAATATCGATGGATTGGTCGATGGATTTCTTGGAAACATTGGAATACCAAGCCTAGATGATGGAAAACGAGCATTTGCCATTACTGAGCAGCGTTAGTTAAATGAAGGTGGAATGGTGAGTATTCTCTTCTCGATTATTTACTGAGGGTTGCAAGTATTATTATAGTCGCGGCTACTATTAAATCACTATTTTACGTGTTGGTTGTTCTTAATTATGTATATTAGCCATTACATTTATCGGAAAACTTAATTTAACGTATTTGAACAAATTATATTCTATTCGGTATTTTCCTGATATTTTTAGGCGAAATGCATTTTTAAGGTCGCACACAATATGTTGTCATATATCAAAGGAGAAAGGCTTTCTCTTGTACAATTAAATTAATTACTGTTAGTTACAAACCATACATTATCAGTATTTTACTTTCATAATACCTAGAAATCTGAGTAACGCAGCGAGCGAGACTTTGCAAAGATTTTGCAAGTAAATTTTATTAATTGTATAAATTATTTGATTATTCTATGTGATGTTGAGTTTTATGCAGGAATTTGCACCTGTAGAATGATAAAATTGAAGTTTATGATGTATAACTCGTGTCTTGTCAGTTTATTAATGTTCTATTTTATTAATGTTTATCAATTGATGAATTATCGTGCAAGCCGGTCTTTGTTAAAAATGATATTCAACTTTACATTTATCATCCGATATCTCATATTTAACAGTTTATGACGGCCATAACTTTTGTTACGTAATGAAATAACTTTCATCATTTTTTCATAATTTCATGACCCTGCATCTTTTATTAATTATTCTCCACATATTCTCTATAATTTTATATCTTCCGCGTACATTTAGAATAAAAATGCACGATAAAAACAAAGTAGAATTTTGTTTTATTTAACATGGAAATTACGTGAAAAAAAATAAAGCTATACATGTATCCAATAAAATAATTACACAGCCGCAGTTCAAAAGATAAAAAATAATCCACTCCTCGTTCACAGACCACCGTTCGATAGTTTTAACATAGAAATCTCACGCACTTTGTCACTTATTTCTGATAACAATAACATAATATTTTCGTCATTATTTTACGCGTAACCGGATATCGTCAATTATATATACTGCACGAATGATAGCTAGCGTATAATAACGTACAAAAGTACGTATATCAAACAAAAAAAAAAAGAGGAAACTCCGACGAGTTAAAAAATAGCCCGGCGGATGAACATCATCACAGTGGCCCGATTTCACGAGCATTGTTATGGCGATAGAGTTCGAGAATCAAAAAAAAAAAAAAAAAAAAAAAAAAAAAGCAGGGGGGGGGGGAGGAGGGTGAGGGGGGGA